ACACAGAGTAAATACAGGATGTTTTGCACTATTTATTTGATGTTGGCCCTTTGACAAAAATGTCTCTGTTAGTGGAGCTGTTGTTTTTCACAAAAAAAACAATGAGGAAAGGTTTGGTATAGTTCTCAAGGCTTTATCCTAAGGCCTATAAATAGTGGACTTTGTGTACATGGTCGATAAAGGCATTTTAAGGTAGTCACCAGTCAAAACTGAATACTAAACATTTAAATGCATACAAGAAGTACAGTCCATCTGCCGAGTACTTCAGTTATTCATCCTGGCAATTCATTGGTTTTCCTGCAGTTCATTAAAGAGAGCTTTGCAGTTAACAAATTTTCACATGTTATTTACCTGTAAAAGCTTCCCTTTTGTAGATATCTAAAAAGCCCTAAGACCTGGGAGCAGCCGTCCTGGATATGATGTCAGCAGCTCCATCAGACGTAGAACAGTCACTTAAGTCACAATCTATAGTATTCTCCTTAGCTTCTTTCCTTGTCTGCTAACAAAGGGTTATGTAAGGAGGTGAGGGGTAGGGGCAGAGAAGCTAGGCCAGCAAAGAGAGTAATTAGACACTCCGCAAAAGTTGGTGACAAGGTCTCCTTAAAGTCCATTTCCACCTTTGCGGGGGTATTTTTAAAAAACATATGCCAGCAATGTACACCAAGCGGACATGAAGCAGGCATATGCAGTTGCTGTAGATGAATACAGAAACTTAAATTTTTTGTTAGCTTTCCTCTTCATATCCTCATGGAAATGGCCATCTCTGTGCTGTGCAAGCAATATGTGTACACTGAGTTGCCAGATTATTATGACCACCCCATCAGTACTTCGTTGGGCCACGAGATGACTCCACGAGATGACTTAGTTGGGCCGCCTAGTGACTCGACGAGATGTTGAAAGGTGATGCGCGGAATCTGACACTGCACTGTTGCCCTTCTGTTGTCTTGTACCAGTCTTGCCACTCTCCGTTCGCAGGTTTAGACCCAGATTCTCGGCTGACAGTCCAGTCTTTAAACACTTTAACAACAGCTGCACTTGAACATTTAACAAATTCTGCTGTTTTGCTGATACTCGCTCCATGGCTTGAGCGCCAACAATCATCCCCCGTTCAAAGGCTGTTAAATCGTGTTGTTTACCCATATCTTCAGAAAAAAATCACTTCTACTGTCGTGGTAAACAACCTGCTTCCCTATTTATAATGGTCTGGCCCTCTAGAAACTTCAGTGCGAAATTATAGCTAATTATAGCTAATTTGCCTACAAACGTCAGGTGGTCATAATAATCTGGCCACTCAGTGTATATTACAACTGAGCTCCCTCTGAGAGCTGTCAACCCCCCCATTAGTATTCATAGTGCTGGTGGTGTCCAGCGACCTCTGACCATCTCCAACAGTCTCTTTAAACACCTTGGGACCTTTCCTTCTTATACAGTTTTAGTCCCTATTTGCCCATTTCTTCTAAAGTGCCTTTATCATGTTGTTATCCTCTTGCGAGCTTCTTTAATTTGCTCTTCATACTCTGCCCAGATAATACGGCTCCCACTGTACTTAAGGGCAATCCTCAACACCAGCGAGGCTTGTGTTACAGATAACAGTTTCCGGTGTTGTGGCTCTGCCCATTATTTATGCTGTGCCATTCACAAAGCACAGTCTGTGGTGTCATCACCGGTTGTGCTTTGTGAATAGCAATGCAAAGGTAGAGGAAAATACATAACAAGCAAGCAGTACATAAGGGTGTGGGACCAGTATCTTACCAAATATCAAGAAAAAATGTTACGGTAAGTCCAAAAACCTTATTTTCTTTATTGTTTATTGAGGGACACAAGGATGTAGTAATTCTTAGATATTTGGGGTGTCCAAAAGCAGTCCAACAGGTTAGAGGGCCATAGCCACTGAAAGATCCAATGAATGTGGACATCTTACTATAAGAGTATCTGAAGAAAACAACGTCTGAATGATAGCTAGATGAAGAAGTGTTTAAGCCAGTATTAAGATTGTCACTACCAAAAAAAGGCACCGAGGATCAGAAGAAGACAGGTAATAACCACTGGGAAGAAACTCATAACTGAATGAAGCATGGACCTCAACTAACAATCAACATTCGGAACCATGCAATTAATTTACCGCACTGATTTGAATGCGCCCTCAAAGTGAAAACGCTCATTCACATTTTGAGGAGAGAGCCATGACTCCACAGGTTGTTTCCAGTCCTCATAGAGTACTGTTTTACACCCCAAGTGTAGTGGGAAGGTCTTTGCAGTCATAATAGCGCTAACTAACACAGTATGCAGAGATCTGTAAAGCACCACTGCACAGAGCCCAGTGCCTGAAGCTCACGTTCCACAATAACCCTTAGATTAGAAGCTCCTTGAGGGCAGGGACTGATGTATATAAAAATGCCTGTAATAAATATATAAACTCCACAATTTTTAAATCCAGCAGGGACAAGATATGGCTTTGTAGAGACTAGCTCAAGCAGTATGATTTGAAGACTTGATTGAAGTCACTGAAGACAACCATATTTACGGAGTATTTGGGTTGAAGGAAAAATAAAAAAGGTTGGTAAAAAATATAGTTAAGAGTTTTTCTCAACAGAGTTGAGGAAAAGACATCCAACCACCTAGGACACTGGCACAAAACTGAGACATGATGGCTGGAGGCGGGGCTATATGAGAGGATGGCTTTATGTTTGTTTGCCAGTGTTCAAACCTCCTGAAGGCAGTAGTATAACCCAAATGTCTTAAAATTACTACATTCCTGTGTCCCTCAATAGATTATAAAGAAATGTTACAGAATATAATGCACTAAATGTTAAGGTAGATTTACCAATCTACATATTAGTACGTCCAGAGTAGTTTTGAATTAACACACAAAACTATTTTTATTTTCAGTTTGTTAAAGTGTCAAGATAGGTATGCCATACATGGCTAAGCAAAAGTGTTTGGTTACACTGAAGTTCTTCTTTTACACTAAAACAAATATTTGGACCAAGCCAATAAACTATCTTTAAGAAAAACTTCATGTTGTTTTAACGTTGTTTCTGGGTGTGGGAGCTGTACATAGCATGACAATTGTATCCCCAGGAAATTCCTGTGACTTGGGAATGGCATATAGTCATAACTTCCATTTACAACGTTGTACAAAGCACCTGTTTAACTGCAGTTTTATTTGTATAAGTATTGAACACATAAGCAAACATTAAAAAAACAGGGTATACCATGCTCACAGAGCCATTGTTTAGATTTTATTTGATAGGCAATATTCTAAAGCACAACTAAGTATAGTGCAAATACTAGACATGTGCGATTCGTTTCGTTCCGAATCGAAATTCGGACGAATTTTCGTGAATTCGGATGTATCCGAATTCCGAATTACAGACATAACGAATGCAAACGAATCCGAATTTCCATTTCCGAAATTCGGTAGCGTTCGCACGAACGTTCGTTTCGTTTTCTGTTCTTATTCGTTTCTTATTCGTTTCTTATTCGTTTCGTTCGTTGGAGCAAAGTGACATTAGAGAAGGAGAAAAATATTTTTTCCCCCTCAAATGTCACTTTTGCTGCAAACGAACGAATAAGAATAAGAAACGAATAAGAAACGAATAAGAAACGAATAAGAACAGAAAACGAAACGAACGTTCGTACTAACGCTACCGAATTTCGTCCGAATCCGAATTCCGAATCCGAATTGACTTTCACACCCGAATCCTGAAAAACGAAATAACACAAATCCGAATTTAAAACGAAACGAAACAAATTTTTTGGCAGTGCACATGTCTAGCAAATACTATTGAACCCATTGGGTCAGCATTTGAGTAGCTCATAGACTTACATAAATTATTATTCTTTAACTAGGTAAAACCTGAACACAAAACTCAAGTCTATGCCTGCAGAGCAAAGGGAAAATAATACAATCTCAACCCCATCACAGCCGTTTGCATACATACAGTATGTTGCACCATGGAGGTGGGCTTTATACTCTGCTGCTGTGCTCCCAGCATGGTTGGCGGTGTTGCCCTAACAGCTCCTAGTCACACAGCAAAGATCAGGAGCCTTATGACATCTTAAAGGGCTAGCTCACACCAGCGGTAAAAGGATTGGTGTTTGTCAAGCCAAAAACCTTTTTCTAGTTTTGGATAGTGTGGATGGGAAAGATGAAAAATGCTGCTGAGTTTTTATTGATATCCCTAGCTCCATTAGAGAGATTTGACCCCTCGATTCCTGTCCTGCTGATAAGGATTTTACCAGACAGATATTGAGGGAAAATCTAAAACACAGGGACACAAACATAAAATTTTACAGGGGTTCTAGCCGTCCCCAACTAAAAAACAGGTTTTCTCATCACTTTCTGTCTGGTAAAATACTGTCAGCAGGAAATGAGTGAAAATGCCCGAAATAGCAGTATAAAATTGACAGGTGTACTAACCCTCCCTCACTCTATTTATAACCAAGAAAAAAATCTGGCTGGACATTGTATAGCTGCAAAAATCCTGTGATTTTGTTAAATGAATAAATGAAAATTAATGTGCATACTGTATACCATAGCTAACGGCTTTATGACTCTACTTTATGTCTGTGGTAAGCTTCCTCCTGCCATCCACAATGGTAAGGATAACTTGGGACAGCAAGACAAGAATTATATTTTATTATAAGCATCTTGTAAAATGCTATACATATATTAGAGGTGTAAGATCTGGCATTTTAAAGACCAATAAATGTTCAAATAACTTTAACAGGTGACAATTATGTCAGACACCGTTTATACAAGATTGTATTCCAAAAATAACTAAAGAGAGACATACACAACATAATCCTTACTACAGAAACATACAGCAGCACCATGATTTTTTTTGGGGGGATTGACAAAAATGGAAACAAATAAACATAACATGACATTGGTTTTGACAATAGAACACCCACCCGGTACTAGTTTGTTTAGGTATAATAACAATCATTCTTTGGTTTTTAGATGAAATAGAAAGCTTACAATCTAATTTTCTTACCTTCGAAAAGCGAGCATTTATCCATTTGGTAAAGGTCTTCTTCTGTACATCGTTGTGTTCATCTGATGTAAAAAGAGAGGGAAAGTTAGCACTGCTTGATGGTTATATTTTTTCTTGATATCCAAAGAGATTTTTAGACGACCCATCAACATATATGTATTTTGTCTAATCTGGCAATCACATTGAACGGAATTTATCAAAACTGGGGCAGACAAAATCTGGAGTAGCAGTGCATGGCAACCAATTGTCTTCTCTTTCATTTTCAAATCTTAACTGAACAAACTGAAGAGAGAAAAGAAAGAAGCTGATTGGCTTCCATGCACAGCTGCTCCAGATTTTGTCTCTTCCAGTTTTGATAAATTCTTCCCATTATGTCTGTGGAAACTCTGCAACCTCTTGCACTGATCAAAAAGGCTCAGATGAAAAATGTATTCACCGTAAGAGATTTTAACAGTTCCAGACTGTTGTTTCCCACAGATAAACGCAGCACCGGGAAAATATGCTCAGTGCACATTCAGCCGAATTATTGTGCATGGTTGTGAAAATACCTTTTATAAAAAAGATCTTTTGTTGCTTGGATCCTGTTGTGTCCATGTGCCGTCTTACATTATGCAGTAAAACATCTTATACAAATGCACATGCTATCAATAAACAGGTTGTGCTTTATTCAAGTAGCTTATCACATAAACAATAACAGATATGAGAGATATGGGCATTCTGCACTAGTGCTGAGAACTAATTTCAGGCGAGGGCAACAGAAGGTGCCACATGAGAACTATGGATACACACATATGGAATCTTCATATGACTGCATCTTCCAGACATTTCATAAGTCGGCAAATATCTGACAGCCTTAAAAGTCCATCCACAATTTTATTATTTGATTTAAGTTTAAAAAATGACCTTTCTTAGCTAACAATTAGTCATTGTATAAAAATCAAAGTCCTTAAATGGTATCTAAACCAAGAACAAATATATAATATATTGTAGCTTAAAGTCTATTTCCAGCTTTGTATGTGATTAGCATTTATTGTGGTAATGTAGATGTGTGATGTATGTGTGCACATTTTCATGACTCACATTGCTGGCTTTTAATAAATGTTATGGACTTTTTAGTAGGGACGAGTCCTACAAATAAAAACTCAGTCTGACACTGAGGTTGGATTGTAAAGCAGCTGATCCCCTACCTGTGTGTGAGTCATTGTAACAAGATAACTGCACACCAGCTCTGCCTTTTCAGGTCACAGTATGCTGTCCAGAGAGGTTGTTTTTGCGGGGCGAGTAGTGGCGGGGGGGGGGGGGGTGGGGGGGGTTGCCACTATAAATGGGGGGAGAGGGCTCAGAAGAGTGTTAATTTACATAGAGTGCTTGTAGAGCACAGAGGCGGCTATTTCAAAGGAGCCATGAAGAGGACAGTTAACAAAAAAAAACCACGGATGTTTCTGTGTTCACATACAGCAACTGCATATGCCTGCCCCATATTCAGTGTGCATTTGATAGCATATGGGATTTTTTTAGAAATACCTCCACAAAGGTGGAAATGGCCTTTAACAGTCCTTAGCACTGGTGGCTGCATTAGTTTCTTTTTTTCTTATATTTTCACCTGGCGATCTTGCTAGTAACACCTGTCCTAGGGTTACAAAGCTCACTCACTGTACTGTATCAATAGAGGACCAGCATTGTCACCCAAGAGCAGAAAGTGTGTTAGGGTGACAGAACATTTCCCTCTTTCTTCATCAGAAATAGCTATAACAGTTGCCTGTACACAAATAGTAAATCTTTGTTCTATAGTTGATAAAACATTAACAGTCATGCATATATTTCTATAAATGTGCATTTATTAAACAAGATAAATGTTCAGTTAAGCAGCTAAAGTAGTAGTAAACCTCCAACACGAAATTAACATTTTGGGCGCCCAGGAGGTGTTTGTCATAATGTGCTAGTATGCAAGTAAGCATTTTAACTAGGGATGCACCGATATATCGGCCGCCGAAACATATCGGCCGAAAATTGCAATTTTGGCTAAATGCAGAAAGTGCCATTTTCCTGCCAATACATCTGCACATCCCAGGTTTTTCTCCTCCCCACTGGGCGCTGCTCTATGTCCCAGCGGGGAGGAGAGAAAGTGACGGCAGTGCCGACGAGCGCTGCGTGAGGAGAGCGCTGCGAGCGGCCGGTGTCTCTCCTCCCACACCGCTCGGCCGCCTATCACAGTGCGGCAGAGCTGTGTGGGGGGCGGAGACAGCGCTGTCACAGGAGGCTGGGCTCTCCTATCACACCGCTCACTCAGCCTCCTGTGACAGTGTGTCAGAGCAGGCTACAAACACTCAGCGATCAGTGTTTGTACATAATTGAGGATATGGTATGTGGACTATATGCTCAATTATGAATGAATGGGAGTGATCTATATCACCTCCTGTTCATTCATGATTGTGGTTATAGTAATCATACTATATTCTCAAGTTTTCAATGAACAGGAACACTTATAGAGGACTCCTGTTCATTGATAACAGAGGATACAGAAAAAGAGATTGAGGACTGTGTTCTCAATCTCTTTTTCTATTTTAAAAGGGAAATATCAGGGGTCTGTTTAGACCCCTAATAATTTCCCCAAAGCCCCTAAAAGTAAAGTAAAAAATAGTAATATTTAATAAAGAATGAATA